CTATTGGAAATTAAGCCTGTTTTGTTACTTGAAATGTCAGATGAGGCTTTTTCTGTATACAATTTTAAAGCCTGTATTTGCTGAATTTCAAAAGTGGAATGTCTGCATTTCAAAAAGAATTGCTGAATTTGCAGTAATACCGGGTTAATATCTGTAGATAAAAATGGGCATGTTTTCATGAAAAATCTCACAATTTTATTTGTATTATAATAAAAGCTATTTCTTATGAGAATAATTTTACACTATTACAAAAAAATGAAATTATATTGCTTCAAAAATTTATTCAGTTTGTTTCATCCCATCAGTCTGTGCAGTACAATTAATCAACTGGTTTAAAATCTGTTGGGACAATCTTCAGTGTAAAAACCAGTCAAAGTAATTTGACCACCTTCTGCCTTAGGAAATTTTCGTATGAGTCATAAAAAGCCATTAATATAATTACCTAACACTTAAGTGTCATAGATTAAAATTGGAGTTATCTCAGATTTTTTTTTAATGTAGAGAATCATACAAATCATGAATGGTATTATTAAAAATTCTGCATTAGAAATTACAAAGAAAAAAGATAGTTGGTCTTATGGCTGGCAGAAACCTTATTCAGAAACCAGAAATGCAATTACAAAAATCAGAAAATGAAATCTTCTCAACCATCTTTACATAAAACACAATTCTTATCAGTCTCTTGTAAGTCTTTACCTAAGATCTAAAAGACCTTATCAATTATCTGTTTCTCCAAATTTAATGGCTTTAAGACAGATCAAGCAACAAATATGGAGGTTAATCTAATAAAACGCTGATGTTCAAAGAGCTTTTAATGCCAATAGAAGATATGGGACTGAAGTTGCTGTCCTGAGAATTTGCTATTAAATTCTTTGACTTCAATTAATACAAATCAGTTATATTATTCACTTAATAAATATTGATGTATAAATCTGCAAAAGAATAGATGGGTTTCATATGATCAAGAATGGTAAACATCACAAAATTATGGGGGGAAAGCAATGGATGTCATGCTGCATTCTTGTCAGTGTTCTGTTTAGTATATGCTTTATTTTAACAACTGACCAGTCTATATTCTAGGAATCTTTTTTTATCAAAAGCATTATTAGGTTTGACTCAGGTTTTAGATATTTGAATTGTAAACATGCTTAATTAGTGCATTATCAATGCAATGTTTCATATTTTAAAGAAATGTAAATGTGTAATTGGCTGAAGTTAACATGAATTTTATTGTAAGTGATTGAAAGGTTAAATGTCTGGGGGTTTTTAATTGACACAAAAACAATTTCTGATCTTGGTTTATATCCTCTTAGAATGTCAACTGCCTGTATATAATACTGCTTTTGGTTGTAAATCTTTAAACACATAGTAAACAGCTTATTCTTAATAAAATATTATTTAAAAGTGTGAATTTTATATTCAGTATATGGATTGTTCTCATTTATAACTTTCATAGAAATGAAATTCATTTTGAAAGAATTGGTTTGAAAATATTTAGACTTTAAATATGTGTATGTATGTATATGTATGTATATATATGTATGTGTAAGCCATTTGTTTAGTGACTGGTCAAAGTTACAGCAGCACTAAAAAAATTACTTATGACCATTTTTCACACTTAGAAGCATTGCAGCATCCCCATGATCACATGATCAAAATTAGCTGCTTGACAACTGACTCATTTGATTGCTGTATCCCAGGGTCATGTGATCTCCTTTGGTGACCTCCTGACAAGCAAAGTCAAAAGGGAAGCCAGATTCACTTAACAATCTATTACTAACTTCACAATTGCAGTGATTTACTTAACAACTGCAGCAAGAAAAGTCACAAAATTCACTTAACTGTGTCTCACTTAGCAACAGAAGTTTTGGGTGAATTGTGGTTGTAAGTCAAGGACTACTTGTAAATGAGTATTTGCTTGTCCACATATGTAAAATACAAAGCAGACATTATAAGAGCCCAAGAGCTTCCTAAGAAATGTTTAAATTGTTTTCCCATATTCATCATTTAAATGTAGAGTAAAACTAATACTGTCTTAGTATCTAAAGTTGACTCCAATTTTCTGTATCATATTAGCTGCATTTGGAAGTAGTATATTCTTAGAATAAAAAAAATATCCTGAAGTTTACATATTTTGCTTAAGTTCTTAGCATAATATTCTAAGTTCAGTTTATTTTGTAAATGTATTTTGGTGCATCACTTAATCATACAAACTGAGGTTTTTTTTCTGAGATGAATCTAATAATGTTTGGCCATTGATAAAATAGCATCTGCTGCTGAAGTGAATTCCCATATTCTCTCATAGAAGACTTTTTAAAACTTACTTGGGGGAAATGAACCCAAATCCTGTTGTGGTCATACAACAGCATCATATATTCACAGGGAAGGAGATTTTGTTGTTATATCAGCCATTTAAAAATCATTAGTTTTAAGAGCTAATAGTCCCAAATCAGTCAATGAGCTTTCATTTATTTATAAATTTATATGATGCCCATCTCACTATAGAAGTGACTTATTGACAACTTGAGATTTTTCAATAGAGTAGGTAATACCAGTATTCTATCTTCATTACACCAAACTGGTTTTCTTATGAAGATCAAGATTAATTTCTCTTGCCAGTTTCTGAAGTTCAACACCTTAAAGGGCGAGATTAAGAGTTTTCACTTCCTGATGCTGAAGGCAGATTGAAGCCCTTAGCCCCACTTAAATACACATTTATTCACTTAGGTCTACCTCAGGCTGCAACAATGTAATAGCTTGCTGTGATGTGATCTATGCTTGTTCAGTTGCTGGTTAGTAAAGCATATTTTCCTTGGTAGAAGGGAAAAATATTTTGAAAACCATGATAGGCTAATGGCTTTCTCTCTCTGGAACATCATTCCCCCAGAGATTAGAATGCCCCTCCACTCTAACATTCCTCTGGAAAGTGCTGAAGACCTGGTTCTGTCAGCGGGCCTGTGGAACCCAGAATAATGGGATGGAGCCCCATTAAATGGCTTGTGTGATGTGTTGTCACCAGGGTGGGGGGCTATTATTAATTTATTATTTGATTATTTTTTGTTTTCATATGTTTTTATATTCCTGTAAACTGCCTTGAGTCACCATGTACAAATAGGCAGCAATATACATTTTCTAAGTAAGTAGCCAGTGGCATGTGTTGCCTTCTCTCACTTGTCTCTGCTTATCTATCAACAAAGAAGACTGGTCAATGTAGACACAATAGCTCCCTTGGCATCTTGAGCAGGAAAGGTTATTTTCTAGATCTTAAATCTGGGACTTGAAGGTAGGGTTAGGTGATAAGATAATCACCCTGTTTTTAGAAGCAATATTAGCGCCTGAAATCCTATTAATGTAAAAAGCAAGTGAAGGAATGGGCCTTCATCTCTACTGCAAAGTGTTTCCTGTTCAAATTCTTCACTTTTCTTATTTGCCACTGCCTGCTTGTCCTTAACTTTATAGCAATTGAATATAATTGGTAGAACTTAAAAATTGGGAGTTTGTCATGTATAGAACTACATGTGGTTCATTATATGATCCACTTAGGAACATACATGCATATAAGCCCCACCTCACCCTGCATCATCATGCAATAGAAATGTGTTCCAGGTGGTCCTATTCTGCTCACCTTATACATCTCATTGGAGGGGAAAGGGGGAAAAAGAGGTTACACCATCTCTGCAATGTTAGTATTGTTGGAAGCAATATCCTTCTGGGTTCAGTTCCAAGTGGGGAAAAAGACATTGGATTCATGGAAATTGCTTGGAAAGGTTTAATGATGGACAGGACAACATGCCTTGGAGCTCCTGGGCAAAAAGGGGAGAGATGCTGAAAATCCCTTGGTTTTACACTCTCTGTTGGGCCCCACCTTAGTGTTTCCTGTTCCTGTGTAAGAAATATATCCAATTGGCTGTCAGACTTAACTTTGTACACTTTGTCTGGACCACATGGCTTCTTCACCTGAGTGCTGGCTAATGCAATCTTCCCAGGTGCCATGTAGTGAGATGGATAATCCTATCATTTCCTGAGGGCCATGTCTTAATCCCATCACCCTGGAGCCTGGGAGCTGCAGGAAGCTGTTTTGTTTTTGAAACCTGTTTCTCCTTTTCTTCATACAGGGAAAAATAATATCCTGCCTTTTTCAATGTTTCCTAGAATATTTCATTCTTCTAGGAGAGGGGTGGATGCTAATTTTCTACAGTATGTATAACAGAGGCATTCATTCCCTTAAAATGGAAGAGACAAATACCATAATAAATATTCCACAAAAGGAAAATGTAAGTGTGAAGTTGCATTCTTTTCTTTATTGAGGATTTAACTTTAAAAGTGTAGGCGGCTTAATTTGTGCAGAATGCTAATTAAAAAGGCCACATGAAAATGATCATGGTATATTTTAAATTGGTCTGTTGAAGAACAAGAAACCCACCAGCTTACAGGTTTTAAGTACTGTAAGGCCAGTAAGCTTTCAAGGACAATGCGCTTGGGTGCCGGTGGTTAATGACTGTCAATCTGCGGGTATTCAGAGGATCTCCTCGTTTGATTTGTGGAGGCTATGGATTTGGGTGTGCGGGCTCCAGTGCACAACAGACCTTTTTACCTATTATCCCCGTCGGAGAGAACGTTTTGTCTTTTGCTCAGAAAAGCAGATCTTCGTCTTCCCCTCCGTTTTCTCTTCGCCAGGTGAAAAGGTCGAAACGACTTCGCCCATTATTTAAACACTGTCTGGTGAGAGCATAAGCACGAGTCTGGAACTAGACCGTGCAGGACACCAAGACCGTGCATTTCCAAAAGCCACTGCCGCCCTGCAAAGCGCGCGCACCCAACCACCGGCGAAGCGTTGGGGGGAGGGGGGGATTTTGTACTCTCCGAGGCGAGGTCATCTGACCCGGAACCAGCGCGTGCCCTCCAGGCTCCGCCTCAGCTCGAGGCATCCGCTGCTCTTCCCTCCCTCCCCGCCCAACGGCTCTTCCTCCGCAAATTAGAGCAGGCGCTCGCCAAGCGTGATGGAAGGGAAAAGGCGGGAATCTGCCGAGGAGGAAGGTGAGCGGGAGAGACGCAGAGGAACGGAGAAGTACTGTACTGTACTGTACTGTACTGTATGTACGAATGATTCGTCAGGGCTTGTTCGTCTCCTATGACCTGCGCACGCACACTCCCCACCCACCCGACAGATTGGAGAAACATTTTTTTGAATTGGGGGCGGGATCCGATCAAATCTTTAGCCCTTTTCCTGAGATAACGCGTTTTAGTCTATCCAGCAGCTGGAACTTACGGGTATAGATAGATAAAGATAATGCACGCTTATTAAACCCTGGCGTACCCGCAAGTCCTTTCAATGTAGGCGGCACTGTAAAGTGTGAGGCAGCCCATCTTCGATCCAACAACTGCGTGTATAACCATTATTTCCATCATGCACAGTGCAGAAAAAGCATTCCTGAAGAGCTGTACATATAAGACCACTTTGATTTACTTGGTACACATGATGAAATTCTGTAGTTGTGTATAATCATTTCACACTATCAATATATTGTATCTATTCACCTTCATTCTTATATCTTTGGTTTATCAGCATTGGTACCCTAAAGAAGTTTTCCACCAGAAATTCAGATCTATCACTGCATACCTTAGCAGAAAATTAATTAAAATCTGAGCTGTTCAAAGAGTAATCTTCATTGGTACATCTCTTATAACTGTTAAACTATCATTTTTTTAAAAAATACAGTTTATATTATTGTATTTTACAATTACTTTAGTTTGTAGTGTGCACTACCATAAGTGCCTGTGGAATTTGATGGTATATACAGATAGTCCTCATCTTATGACCACAATTGAGCCCAAAATTTCTGTTGCTAAGTGTTAAGTGAGGTTTTCCCCATTTATGACTTTTCTTGCCACAGTTAAGCGCATCACTACAGTTGGTAAATTAGTAACACAGTTGTTAAAGTGAAACTGGTTTTTGCAATGGCTGCTTGTCAGAAGGTTGCAAAATGTGGTCACAAGACCCCTGGGCATTGCAATGGCCATTGCAATGGCCATACATGAGTCAGTTGCCAAACATCTGAATTTTCATCATGTGACCATGGGGATGCTGCAATGGTTGTGTGAAAAACGGTTTTAGTTCACTTTTTCCAGTGATGTAACTTTAAATGGTCACTAAATTGAGGACTGCCTGTATTAAATAATCTACAATAAATAAAGTTAATATACAATGTAGTCCCCCTCCCACTGATGTACGGTTTCTGTTCATGTAGAATACTGTAGAAGAATCATAAAGCAAAAAATTACCCAGATAAAATAGTATTGTAAAGCTGAGGATATAATACTTTGAAAATTTTGAAAAGCTGATATCAAAAAATATTTTTCAATATATCAGTTAACTATACTTTTTGTTGTAATTGTGGTTTATATTAGCTTCTTGCAGATTTTCATATATAATATTAATTTACTATATGCATTTCAGTGTAGTTTGCTTTGAAATTGTACTTCATAATATAAGTTGTATTTATTTAGAAAATTGGGAATATCAGAGGTCGTAGTCAAAACACTATACTCAAGTGAGACTGTAAATTATAATAAATACTATCTGAATTGCCAAAATCTGTTCTTATTTGGAAGTTCTATAAAAACATGTGGACTCTAAGCACAGGAATATAATCTTTGGATATATACCCAATCCATATGTTAAATTGAAATAAATGTCTGTGTTAGATTTTCTTTTAAGATAGAAAGTTATTCTAGATATCAAAGCATACTCCTAACAAGTTCTTCAGCTATTATTTCAATGAGAGAATCATATGACTTTTGCAGTATAAAGTCTATAATATCCTTGAAGCAATTAGCATGTACATAGTTAATTCAGTATACCTCAAGGAATATGGATTAGTAAAGTATAATTTTAAAAATTCACAAATTGAAATGGGAATTCACTTTTAAATTGTTTCATTCTGATATTAATCTTATTTCAGTATTAAGCTTTACAAAATTGCCACCTGATAGGAAACCATGATTGTTTGTTATGTACTTTAATTCTTAACTGACCTTAGTCTAGAATATGAAAATAAATATGCTCATTTTACAAATGTAACTAGAAAACCAGTGCCCCATTCCGTCATTGTTTCAGAGATATTTCTTTACCTAAATAGAGAAACAGACTGACCAAGGCTGCGCAAAAAAGCAGTAGGACCAGGAATAGCTTCCAACTTCCTCCTGGCTTCCCCACTGAGTTCCCTGTGGGAATCTAATAGCAAGCATGGAAATTTTTCACTTTCCTTCCCAGCAGGCAAATAAATGCCTGCTGTTGTCAGAATGGGGAGCAAGGGATTGTGAGATTGGCTGGGTAGCTGTCACAGAACATTGAAAATGAAGATTACATGACCACACTTCCAACTTTCATTCCTTAAGAATCGGGAGTCTTGGATTTGGGCACAATCTGTAAGTTAGTCCATTTAAGATACTTTGGTTCAAAAATTGTGCCCTATTACACACCATTTCACCCAGTTAAAAGTCATGATAAAGAATTATAGTAGTTCATAGATAAGCAACATATTAAAATTTCTGAAATATAGAATTATATTGATAGGTGTATATTTTCATAAAAACAAAGATATCAGGTACAATAGAATAAAACCTTCACCTATGTCTAATACAGATTACACTTCTTTTACAAGAAAGCATTTTAGTATTTCAGATGTACAGAAAAAGGTTACAATGTGATTGTTTCTCATATTAATGCATTTAAAATGCAAATATGTAACACTAATTAAACATAACTAGCTCTATACCTGTGCTTCGCTATGAAACTATGTGATGGGGCTTAGTTTTGGGGGAGGAAAACAAGGGGAAAAAATTCTGCCTCTGCCTACCAGCATCCATCAGTATTCATCTGGCTAGTGTCCTATCAGTGTGTGAGAGAGTTGAGGGCTGTTTGGGAACTGAAACAATATTTGCAGTGTGAGCAAGGAGACAGCAAGGAGCCTGGGCGTGGCTTAGTTCAACTGTTCTGTAACTAATGCTGGTTGCAGCTCTGAAACTGAAACTCCTGCTTGTGTTTTGCATTTGGAACAGATTTCTTTTTAGGTGGGGAGGGGGAGTAGAACTCCTTAGCATCAGAGCATGTTAATAATAATATATGAAATACTAATACTCTGATGGTCATTTCGAAAAATCCTTTCTTAGTGAGCATCTAGAAGCCAAGAGGACCTTATGTGCCAAATTTCAAGTTTGAAGGCTTTACAGTTCTGGAGATTTTGTGATGATGTGTGAGTGGTATTTCACTTTTATATATACAGATTTGCAAAAAAAAGCATTGCCATCTACTTAGAATATGATGTTTTATATGTTTATTTTATGTGTATCTCACCTTTATTGTTTTTACAAATAACTCAAGGCAATGAACATATCCAACACTCTTTCCTCCTCCAATTGTCTCCACAGCAACTACCCTCTGAGGTGAGTTGGACTGAGAGTGCCTGGCACAAAGTCATCCAGCTGGCTTTCATGGCTAAAGCACAACTAGAACTCATGGTTTACCGCTTTCTAGTCCGGTGCCTTAATATACAGTATAATGAATATATCTAATGTATAGAGTATAACTTAATATTTAATATACTGTCCAACTATATATGGAGAAGAGTGTATGTAAATTTATGATGAGAGCTTTATATATTATTGTTTTTTGCTTATTTTGAAGCTAATACATTTACCAAGATGAAAACTGCTTTAGGACGCATTTCCATTGAGATGAAACATAGCCAGTCTGAAATTTTAACTGTACCTACGGAAAATCATCTAAGTCTTGTTGGAATTTCCACAACAGATAAAGGACTTGCATTTAACTCTGAAAAGCATAATCTTAAGATTGATTTACTAAATAAACCAGTTGAAAAAGGAGCCCTTTGTAGTCAAGATACTAATTTAAATTGCACAGGTGAAACTGCAGTTGATCATTTGAAACATACGTTTAACAGGGAAAATGAAAACATAGTGCTAGAGGTAAAAATGCAGCCAACACAAGATTATTGTGATGAAGATCTTGGAAAATATGAAAAATTACCCGAAGAGGCTTCTTCAGAAGCAGCAAGATGTGCATATTTACCAGAACTGCAACTACATTCATGCAGTGTTCAATTTTCTTCATTAACAACACAAGATAGAAATGCTGTACTAACTCTTGGCACCAACACTCCTGATGAGACAATCAGTACAAATACAGAAATTACACCAGTAAGATTGTACTTCCATTTACCATTTAGAAAAACCATAGCTATTATATTTATTACACCTTATTATATTCTAATTATATTAATTGTAACTAATAAACTATATCATTGAGTACTGCTGGTTAAATCTGAAAATTTTAAGATTGCTGCGGTTATGCAACACAATGCATCATGCAGTTATGCAACACAAGTTTCTCTTATCACATTTGCCTCAGGATGTTTCATTAAAACAGATTTGGAGATAAAAGAGCTGAAAATGGGAAAAGAATCTGTTGGAGGTATATAAAACATTTTAAATTTAAAATGATTTGGACTCAAAGTGTTCTATCTCAAATTCAGAACAACTATTTTGAATTTTTATGAGTTGCTGAGCATTTTGAGTACAAAATACCTGCTTTGAATTCAAATTGGAGTACTTAAAATGTTTTACATTTTAAATATACAACTACAAGCTATTAGGTTACCAAAAGGAACAACAATTTGTTTTTTTAATATACAGGATGTGGAATTATATATTTTAGCCCTAAAATAATATTTTATCATTTAAATCCTGTTAATTTGAGGGAGAAAGCATGTTAACTTTATAAAAATATATTCAGCATCATAATGATCAACAAAATATATGTTGAATATCATAACCAGAGCAAAATGACCTTTGTTCTCTATTGAATGATATTGATAGTATGTTGCCTTTGAATCTGGTTTATTCCATTCCAAATCCAGATAATATCTAAAGTTACAAAAGCTCTGGTGCATCCATATATAAGTTAGAGCATTCTAGTCATTGCTGTTGTACAACATTTCCAATGCAAGAACTAATAGTTTATAGGACTGGCTGTCCAAATAGACTGAAACAGGTTATTCAAACACATGGAAACAAAGCACTTTTGAAAAATTATTTAGATCAAAGGCATCTTTTTCCAAGCTTCTGAAACTGATCTGGATGCTGTTTTCTTCTGTTTATGCATATATGCAAACACAGCCAGTTCGTTTCACTGTGGAAAAAGTATTTTTCTCACTGCTTCCTGTTCTGTAACTTTTTGGCCTAATCCATAAAAGGAGCTTTCTTCTTATCCTAAATCAGTTCAGGAAGTATTGAGATTTGTGCAAAGCCTTATGAAAGTTTAAGTACTCTAGTATCCATCCACTTTCATGTTTCAAAATAGAATATGTTAATGAAAGGTTATATCAGGACCTCAGTTTATTACTAATATACCCAACAATCTTAAACTCCTCACTCCCTTCAGAAATTATTATGGGGGATCTGGGACAGTCTATAACAATGGATTATGATAATAGAGAAAAGTTACACAATATAACTGCAAAAGATAGTGGAACAGAAAATATGAGGTTCTACAACTTAGATGAGAAAATATTTTCTACTAAAGAAAACTCAATATTAGATAATCATTAAAGGCTTTCTTTTACAATGTAAAAAATAGCTTAAAACTTCAGCAGAATGCCTGCTTTGTTTCCTAGGTACTGAGACCATTATTAACTCCTTCAAATGCAAATAGCACTATTTCTTGTGATCAAATCAAAGGGATTGTTAATAATTCTACAGTGTCACAAATCTTATCAGGCTGCTCTGATGGTAAGTGATTTTAAAATATCAGTTCTTCTGTACCTGAATAAATTGTATTGCAAATGGGGAAAAAAATCTATTTAAAATGGGATTAAGGTTCAGGTGAACCTAGAAAGAAAGGTTAAGATTTTTAATAGAGTTGCCTATGCCATCTTCGATCTTTTACATTTAAAGTATTTCAGTGAATTTATCTCAGATACTTCCACTGTTATTTTGCTTTTTGATTTCAATAGTTTATACATAGTATAATTTGTCCTTACATTTTTCACATTTGTTTTGTACAATAGACTCTTGCAATGGTATATGTGTTTCACCTCAAGATGCAGATCCTGTTTATGATACATTTGTAAGTATTAATTTTACATTTATCTTAACATCTAATAGAAGTTTATGAATTACCAGCAAGCAGGATCACCTATTTGAAGACCTTCTGAAGCTGAACTTTGTTTCTATGTACCATACCTATATATACCTGAATTAGGTTTTCAGACTATTTATTATACATATTAATCATTTATAGGTTACTGTATTGCTCATCCTTTTTATTGTATCATTTTTATTCCAAGGGGGAGGATTGGTAATGGAAAAGAATATAAATATTGTAAACGAAGAGACAAAGTCTGATATCCTAATAGAATCTGCTTTAGGACTGTTAAAAGCAAACAGTCATAATATAGATTAAATTAAAAAATAACATAAATATGCCCTGTCTTACAGCTGCTAACTATGTAGAGGTTTTTGATGAAACCCTTAAAAACCAAATGGCTACAGCTCAAAGCAGGCATTTCTCTGGAGAAGTTCTAAAAAAAAATTCTGCTATATTTTCTTTGATACTCTTTAGCCATCTGTTAAAAAGAAAATGAAAATGTTCCTTTTAAAAATATTTTAATAACAATTAAGAACAGTGGCAATTTGAAATTCTTATTTACATATCAATGTCAACATATTCTGTGTAAATTATTAGATTTTATTCTTAATATTCTAATATAATCTATCCTATTTAAATATTAAATTGCTTGCATTTCAGAATGAGATCAAAGAAACAGCTGTAAGCCTCCTAGTAAATAATACCGAAGGTGTTTTTCACAGTTCAAATGGTGCTGAGGCAGCCCAAAATCTGGCAGTTACCCAAAATGTTGTGGAGGAACCCACTTATTCACAGAGAAATTATTCCACTCCTCAAGTGGTAAATATAATTTCTTCATAATAACAATATATATTTGCATTAGAGAATGTTGCATGTTTTTGTTAAAAATTCTCAAGTCATCTATATATTTGTTAGATTTTTTATGTTTGACTTAGCTATTTAAATGGCACAATAATATTTTTAAAAGCTTGATATTGCTTTTATAATATAAATAGGCAATCCTTAACCACATGAAAGTCACAAGTGGTAGAACAAAGTAGATTGGAGGTACAAGCCACTAGCAAGCATGGAGAGGATGTGGTTTTCCTTCTCACATGCATGCAAGCACTCAGACTTCTTTTTTCATTATTTAATGCAAAAGATTAGAGCTCAGTCTTATAATCTATAATTCAGAAGTAATAATACCCTCTCAGTTTAATAAGACCTCCCTAATAAATGTACATAAGATTGCAGTATTGTGCAATAAACAGAAATCTAAAGTATTGAGCATTGTTTAAGTATGAGTGTATATTCCTCCAAAACTACACAAATATTAAGTGTTAACAAATTAATAAGCTGGTTTTAAGTAAAGAATTTAATGAGTCCTTTTTACATAAATAACAGGTTTTTTGCTACACATAGAATGAAAATTGTAGCAAACTAATAATTGGTTATGTATTTTAGATAATATGTCAGCTGAAAAATGGCACTCATATACTTTGTGTAAACAATACTGAGACAAGAGAATTGAAAGCTATTCATTTGGTTCCCCAGTATCAAGAACAGCGTAAGTATATATAATAGATATATTGTTTCTGATATTCAATCTATTGACTATGTTGGTACATCTCAAATGTTGATATTGAGCTCTAATGATACATTTATATGTTGAACATTACGGTACAATCTGTTCAAGCCATAATAATACGGAGGGACAAAAATCCACCCCTGTGCATGACATGATCATGTTGTGATCGTGTACACTTTATATGATTGGCCTACCTGCCTATCCATTGAGAACCTATTCCTTCCAAGTAAATTAAAGTGCATTGGCCAACTTCAAAAACTTTATCCTTTCTTGGCTTATCAATGATCAAGAATCTGTGGCATCTTTCACCAAAAAATTCCATCATCCCTCACTGGTCTCTGATTTAAAGGACCACAGAATGCATGCTCCTATTTAGATTTATTCTATTACATTTTTATATATACATTGTATTATTGTATGCTGGTCATGCCTGTATATTTACCACAATTTTTATAGGGCAACAAAACTGAGAAAACCATTACATTTTCCAAATTATAACAATTTCAATTTCAAGAAAATGCACTGTTACCATAATAGAAGTAACAATGTAGGAGAAGAGAAAGTTTCTCAACTGAGTTAATAAAAATATGAATTTATATATTATGAAAGGGGAAAGGCCCTGATGAAACTTAAAAAAACCTAACTGTATTTATGCACAAACTATCCACCTGATGTCACTCTTTTATCAACAATGAAAAACATTTTATGTATTAATAACCTGTATCTTGTACATAGCAATCATTCTCTTTGAACAGTACAAAGGCAAACAACAAAATAAAGCATTTTGGGATTTTTCAGAAAATATTGTTAAAATAACTATTAAGAGCATATTGAACATACATGTTTAAAGGTTTTCCTTACTCACCTCCACCATAAACTACCTGAAAGTATATATTGTTGCTTAATTTTAAAATGTTATTTTATATAATATATGCCAATAATTCTTTCAATAAATGAGAATTAATTTATTAGATCTGAAAAATCTGGTTCTGCCAGCTGGCCTGGGGCCCTGATATGGGCTTGCTATATTGGGGTGCCTGTTGACATTATATCCACTTCCATGTCACTCATTTTCTTGGTTTTTAGTTTCTTATTCAACCCTTTTAATTTTAATCATTTTGTATTTTGTTTACCTTTTTATTCTATTGTGAGCCGCACATAGTTGCTATGAAATGGGATGCATATAAATTAAATAATAAACAGACAAGCAAATAAGAAAACACCCTTAACAACTTAAAAATAGATTAGCCTCTCTCAATGTGGTAGCTTGCCACAGAAGTTATATAAAATAATGGTGAGGTGAATCCAAGTAGTGGACCCTAGGGAGCACAATAAAAAGAAATAGTAGCAAAACATTCTATAAGCCAGGGCTTTTTTCATGCAATTTATTACAAATATGCATATGTCAGGAAATGTGTTTGTGCACACATGTTAGGAAATACAATAAGTGTTTTACGTCGCCTTATAGAATATTGTAGCAATATATAGGACAGTGGTGGCTAACCTTTTTAGGCTCCTGTGCTAAAAATTGTGCGTGCTCTTGCACACTCGCGTTCGTGTGCCAGCACCCAGAAGGCAATGCACACACACCCATGCCTCCTACACATGCAATACCCACCCACCCACCTGCCGCCCCCTTGCCTGCACTGCACCTCACAGCTGATTTTGGGCCGGTTTGAGGCCTTTTTCAGCCTCCCAGAGGCTTCAGGAAGGCTCTGCAGGTTTTTCAGGCTGAAAACTAGGAAGTGATGAAAACAGGAAGTGACAAAATGGGCCTAGTTTTTGGTCTGAAAAGCCTGCAGAAGCCTTCCTGAAGCCTCTGGGGGGAGGTCGAAAAAGGCCTCAAACTGGCCAAAAATCAGCTGTGAGGCACGTGCATGCACAGCGTGATAAGTTTGCCTGCAGCTCGCATGCCAGCACAAATGGCTCTGCTTGCCACCTGTGGCATGTGTGCCATAGGTTCGCCATCACAGATATAGGAGGTTAACCAATACGAAATTACATTACTGATTCATAAAGCTAAATATTTATGTTGCTAAGTACAGTACCAATGATACTCCAGCTTTTCAATTCAGATTTTCCTAGAGTACTTCCTGAGCATGTAACATAGAATATTGAAGTTATGACATTTTGCATGTAACTCAAAAAATTTGTTTTAAAAAAAGTGAGTGTTTTTTCTTACTATTATTTGTCTGAAGTCTACACATAATCATATGCCTCCATTTGGTTTTGGGACCAATAAAATTAGAGAGGCCAGTCACCTTGAGATGGTTCTATCATGTCTATCTAAAGCATCTTTTCTATTTTATTTTGTAACAGCTTTCAACTGCTCAGGAATCCTATACGGACATTGTCTAATCAGTCCGGTTTCCCCATTTCTATTTTATGTTCTACTAGATAATTACACCTGGTTATATGGTAAACATATATATTTACAGTCCCAACATTTTTTCTATCTCTTTCTTTTGATGGTCCTCTAGGACTAAATTAAATTGCATTTTTCCATGGGATGGTTGCAGTATTGTCTCCCAAGCTTAATTCAACAATTCTGGATGCCTTTTAGAACAAACAAAGCTATTCCAGATTTAGCTTTATTGTGCCATTTCCTCAGGAGGATGGCATGGTGGATTCTTTTTCCTGCCTTCCAATTCAAGTTCATAATTTACTGGCCCAGTTCTTCTCTTTACTATGTGGGAATCTTGCCTGTTTGCTTTCTTTAGTAAATAATTACAGTAGCACTCAATCTCCTAAATTAAATTGCTTTGCCTTTAAATCTTTATTATAGTGTCTTTCTGGCATTCCCTGGCTATCTCTAAATATTCCTGGGCAGTGTGTCCTGGGGCTGTTAACTTGTTCCTCTGCATTAATATATATTTGATTAAGTTCTTAGGGCCTTCTAAGCTTTCACAGCACGCCATTCTTTAATAATGTCTAAAACTCTTGAAGGTTGTCTTCTATATAGTAAAAGAGCTAAATTTTGTTAATGCCTGGGGAAGTATCCTGTAGGGAAACAATAGAAAATGCAGCCATGTATCCTAATGTTTTGAGTCTTGGCCTGCATATTTCTTCAACTTATTTTTAGGGTCTGGTTCACTCTTTCCATAAAAATATTTGCCTATGGATAAGGACTTGTATGTGCCCCTTTTATTCCCAGGTCTACACATACAGCAGCACTGATTGGAAATTGGATCATTGATCTGCAAGGATCTAATTTGGTATTCCTACTCTTCTTAAAGATTTTGACCAGCTACTTCGCTATTTTTTGGGTGATCACATTCCTTAATGGAACCCCTTCAGGATATTGAATTGCATAATCACAGATAAATAGAATATACTCATTTACTAGATTGTGGCAAAAGGCCTACAATGTCCATAGCTATTTTAGAAAAGTAACATTAAAGGCAATCTCTTTATAGAAATTTTATCATATTCCCCTTTTGGTTTTACCAATTGAAACATAGGACAGGATCTACATTACTGGGCTGCTTCTTTAAAGATCCCTGGCCTAAAATTCTAAAATCTAAGATTCTGTATGTGATCCTATTCTTACCCATATGTCCAGACCATGGAATTTCATGGGCTGCTTCCAATATCGCCTTGCAGTATATTTCTTGGCGAATTGTTACCTGTTCAATTTGTTCCTTGAATCTCTTATTCAGTACAGCAACCCTGATTTTTCTTAGAATCTGGGTATTGTTTCTCTCCTTTTCTGCTGCTAGCCAACAATGTTGGTTTCTTTTGTAAATGTCCCAGGTGAATTTCCCATTTATGAGTGTCTGTCCCTATGAATTCACCCCTAGTTTTGTCAACCTTTTGAAAAAAAAAATCCTTTCTAGGACATCTCATTTCTCCTATAAAACCAGGATGGTTAGGACAAATCCCAGGCTCCTTCACTTCCTGCTTCTGTTCCATCCTTGTCTTAGACTGGGCTCTTGTGGTTACACCTTCTATCTTAGCCTCCTTCTTGAATCCTTTTTTCTGAGTTCAACCCTCTATAAGTGAAAAATCTATTTCAATCATTAGGTTACATATAAATTAGGATTACTCCTACCACTATTACTTCCTTTCCCCATATAGGCACTCTGGCTTTAACCAATGGAACCTTCTCAATTTGCCCAAATATACCTGTAAGGGACTCTTTTTCCATAGATGCTACCTTTTTTACTAAATGAGAATATACCAACATTCATCTATTCCCACTACCTATTAATCCACTAACAATGACCCCATTAACTTGCTGAGATTATAATTTTTCTCCCCAGAGATGCTTGCATACTGCAAACAGTCCTTGTTTCCTCTGGCTTTTGGTTTTGATAAAAGTCCCACAGTTGTAATAACCACAGGTCTGTGACTTCCCAATGCTCCCTTTTTGTTTGGGCAGAAACTAAAGGCTTCTTTCTTTCACCTTTATCCCTTTCAGCTTCTTTCTGGAACAGGCTTTCCTATTGTTTCTCCTTCTCTATTTTTCTAACATCCTCTGACCATTTGTTGCAGTGTAGTCCTCATTCAATTATACTGCCCTGTTTCTGAGTTGTGTTTTGTACCCAAAACCTCACTTTGGTAGAGAGTACCTGTAGAAATTGTTCTAAAATTACTTCCTCTGCCACTTTCTTTGCTCCTTTTATCTAGCCTCAACCATTTCCTATCTAAGTATTTAATCTTGTGCACAAATCATGAATTCCTTCATATTTGTCATATGTGTAGCCTCTAAACTTGTAGGAGTTACTTCATGCCTGTGTAGGATTATCTCTTGAAAATGGGAGTGATCCATCACTTCTCTTGCCGCAAGGTTATTATAAGCTCTCAAAGCCTTTTCTCTTAAACATCGGGCTATTAAGGCGACCCATTCACAAGAGGTAGCGACTCTTTCAAACATGGTAAAATATGCTTTTATGTTAGAACTTCTGACATCTTAGGGATGTTTATGTATTTGGGACCATCCCCTCTCTATGTATTCTGAAAAACTTAAGAAATATTTG